TGGCTCAGGTCATGATCTCATGGTTCGTGAGTTCAAGCCCTGCAGCAGGCTGTCTGCTGTCAGCACAGAGCCCACTGGGGATCCTCTGTCCTCCTCTTCTCTGTGCCTCCCCTGCCCATTCTTTCTCTCTCTCTCAAAAAAATTTTTAAAAATGAACATTAAAGATTTTTTTATTTTTAAGTAACCTCTACACCCAACGCAGGGCTCAAACTCACAACCTGGAGATCAAGAGTCACACACTCTTCCAAGTGAGCCAGCCAGGTACCCCTAAAATATACCTTTATTTACCATTTCAGCCTGTTTTTCTGTGAGACTATGTTAGAGGCGTCTGCTGGACTTCTGGATTGGAAATGGAAAGGTAGAGCAGGTGGTGAGGACTGCAGTCTGGAAGTACAAGACCTGAGGTTCACAAGCACAATGGAGAGAGCTGGAGCCACGGGCTCAAATGAGGCCACTGAGGAAGAACACGCAGACGAAGAGAAGGAAGCCAGTGGAATTCGGATGTGATTCAAGTGGAGGGACAGAAAAGGCAGCAGCAAGGGAGATGAAGATGGGCCCTCAGAAGTGGGAGAAGCAGAACAGAAGCGTAGTGAAGAAGCCCAGGGGGTTGTGAGTTCAAGGAAGAGAACGGAGTAAGAGGTCAAATACGAGGACAGCTCCTAACTGAACTCGGCAATGAAAAGGTTATCGATATGCTCTAAAGCTTTTACTAAAGTAAATGCTGGACAGGAAACTGTATTGCTGTGAGCAAAGAAGTGAATGGTAATGGAGAATGAATTAGCGAGAGGCAGAATGACCTTCAGTCGGAAGGCATTCAGCAAGAAGAAACATGAAAAATTTACAGGCAAGGCCAAATCAGGAATATTCCATAGGCTTTAAAAATATTGTCGTTTTGTTTTGTTTTGTTTTACAGTGAAAACGCCACGATTATGTATGCGGGCTCCTACTTAGCAGCATACCCCTAGACCAACGGCATCAGCATCACTGGGAGTTGGTCATAAATGCAGATTCTCAGGCCTCACCTCACACCCACAGAATCGGTCTCCACTTTACCCAAGATCCCTGGGGAATTCCCGCCCGTCTCTCCCTCTCTCACTCACACACACTGAATTCAGAAAAGCACAGATGCAGGTTACACGTCAGAATAATCAGAACTGAGAGAGGAGAAGGAGTACAAGGGGTGTGAGGAACGGGGAGAATGAAATCAGGGACAGGATGAACAATAAGCTTTAGAAAAGAAACCAGATTCACTGAAAGTGCAGGAAATGGAGAGCGGGAGAATCCAATTTGATGGTCACTATGTTTTTGGGGTTTTTTTTAGGGAGGCTAGGTCATGCACTAAAGTGAAGCAACATCCCTCCTGGTTTAAAATTCTAGTTAGGTCCATCTACAAAACACTACATGGGCGTGTCTCTGTGGAGGTTAATGATAATACAATATAATCATATATAATATGATTATATATATATAACAATATATATAATAATCAAAGGCGCATGACTCAAAAAAAGTTAAGATGCAGTCTGGCCTCCTTAACACAACACGTTAGAGCTTTGAAACTTGACCTGACCTGCACCCCCACCCCGGCCACAGGCTGCTTAACGGGACGAGGACCACTCATCCTCCTGTAAAATGGCCCATGTTCCTCCGGTCCTCGATGCCTTTCCCCACACAGTCCTTTCCCCTTTTCCGCACCCGCTGAAATGGTATCTGTGCCTTCTTTGTCCAGAGCACAATTAACTGCTTCTTTACGTAGCCTCTATGTTACTGTTTTTAGAGCACCCGCATCTGTCTGCCTCCCCCTGCAGTCAGTACTCAGTTCCCAGCTGCGTGCACACACTGGGAACATCAGGAAGGGACAGTCTCTGATACAACTTTATATCCCACTTGACACAGAGTTCAAGGGATTTCATTACATTCCATCACGGTGAAATCATTAACAGAAAAGGTCAAACATCAGGGAGGTAAGAGGAGAACTTCAAACACAGAAACTCATCCTTCTGACAGGCGTTCTGAATAACAGGACCATTTCGCTTTTTACACATGTAGATATACTAGTTATTCTACACAGGACCTGGGAAATACTGCCCAACAGAAACAGATGGCCTTTACCATCCTCTCTCTCCAGGAATCTTTGTGCCTGTTAATAAGTGTATCAGGGTGCCTGGCTGGCTCAGTCAGTACAGCATCTGACTCTTGATTTTGAGATCGTGAATTCGAGCCCCATGTTGGGGGTTGAGATAA